GCAGTACATGTTCGTTGCGCAACGCGGGCTGCGACACACACACCCTGCCACACACACACACCCTGCCACACACACACCCTGCCACACACACACACACCCTGCCACTCACCCTGTCACACATACACACCCTGCCACACACACACACCCTGCCACACACACACACCCTGCCACCCACACACACACCCTGCCACTCACCCTGCCACACACACACACACACCCTGCCACTCACCCTGTCACACATACACACCCTGCCACACACACACACCCTGCCACACACACACACCCTGCCACCCACACACACACCCTGCCACTCACCCTGCCACACACACACCCTGCCACACACACAGACACCCTGCCACACACACACACACACCCTGCCACACACACACACACCCTGCCACACACCCTGCCACACACACACACACCCTGCCACACACCCTGCCACACACACACACCCTGCCACACACACACACACCCTGCCACACACCCTGCCACACACACACAGCGCCGCCTCCATGTGTCCCTCCCCAGACACGCGCCAGAGAGCTCGGCACCAGGCGCCATCGGTTACGCGTTTCTCAGAGCGAACTCTGGGGCTGGCTCCCAACTTTGCGCCGTCGTCACTCCGTTGGGGTGTGGGGGCCGACGTCTCTCGCTCGGACCTCGAGGCGCGGGCGAGCCGTGTGCCAGTGTCTCGGCACAGATCTCCCACCCACTCAACTCAACCATTCCTCCACTCACCTACACCAAGCATCCCACGGTCTACCCACACACCCACGACGAACTCAAACCCACACTAAATCACCCATTCACCCGCCCGTGTCTGCTTACCAGCTGCAGCACAGTTATTGTGCACATGGGTGGGCCACGGGGGTGGCTGGGGTGGCGGAGAACAGGGTGCGGAGTGGAGGCACAGGGTGCGGAGTGGAGGCACAGGGTGCAGAGTGGAGGCACAGGGTGCGGAGTGGAGGCACAGGGTGCAGAGTGGTGGCACAGGGTGCGGAGTGGTGGCACAGGGTGCAGAGTGGAGGCACAGGGTGCAGAGTGGTGGCACAGGGTGCAGAGTGGTGGCACAGGGTGCAGAGTGGTGGCACAGGGTGTCATTGGAGCTTGCAAAGGGGCCACCTGAGTTGGCACGGGGCCTGTGGGAGTGCGGCCGCCGGTGTCAGGCCGACTCTGCCGAGGGTTAAATACCCCAGCGGCAGGCAGACGACGAGCGAGGGCCGGGACTCAACTCGCCGCGGCTCCCGTTGCCTGCGGCACTGAAGCCGCAGGCTAACCGGATGAATCGATGACGCGATCCCATGGTCCGCGTTCAGAGTTCCTTAAAATAGGAGCTGGCCGGCACCAGCGTAGATGAGACGAGGTGGTCAGGGGCATGCGCGGAGGCACAGAGTCAACGGGCTGGCATCGGGCCCGCGTTGGCACAGGATTTGGTGGGGGGGGGGCAGAGGGCACGAGTGGCGGCACTGTGAAGGAGGGGGGGGGGCATGCGAGATGGCACAGATGGTGGTGGACCAGTACCGCGCGAGGGGGCTGCACCGGGTACCCGGGCTGGCGCAGGACTTGTTGGGGGTGGCGGCAGCGCTGGGTACACCTGTGTAGGCGCAGGTGGGCACGGCGTGGGGCACCCCCACGCCGCCGCCCTTCCCCGCAGGGTGAGGCGGGTGCATGGCGAGGAGGGCCTCGGCCACGCCGCTGCCAACGCGCGAGCGATGGGGTCACGCCGACACGGCAACGGCACAGAACGAACCCGGTGGTGGTGCCACCACCGTAGACGGGGAGAGACGTCCCCCAACCCTCCCCAACCCTCCCCTAGGGGCTCGGTCGCTGCGGAGCCGGAAGATGGTGGGGGGGGGGGGTCACCGCACTCCGCGGACGCCACGTAGATAAGGAACGCGGAGACGCGGAAAACTTCTCGAGTAAAACCACCACCACCACCATCATCACCACCACCACCACCACCATCATCATCATCATCACCACCACCACCATCACCACCACCATCACCATCATCATCACGACCACCACCATCACCACCATCATCACCACACCATCATCATCATCACCAACACCACCACCACCATCACCACCATCACCACCACCATCACCACCACCACCATCACCACCACCATCATCACCACCACCACCACCAGCACCACCACCACCACCATCACCAGCACCACCACCACCATCACCACCACCACCACCATCACCACCATCATCATCATCACCACCAACACCACCATCACCACCATCACCACCACACCATCACCAGCACCATCATCATCACCACCACCACCACCATCACACCACCACCACCATCACCAGCACCACCATCACCATCATCACCACCACCACCATCACCACCACCATCATCACCATCACCACCATCATCACCACCACCACCATCACCAGCACCACCATCACCACCATCATCACCACCACCACCATCACCAGCACCACCACCACCATCACCACCATCATCACCACCACCACCACCATCACCAGCACCACCACCACCATCACCACCATCATCACCATCACCAGCATCAGAGACACCGTCGTTGTTTATTGTCGAGTCTCCCACGAGGCCGCTGATGCGACACGAGCGGGGGGGGGGGGGGGGTGCACGCGGTGGTTATAGTTGCGCTGCACTTCACCTGCATGCGGTTGTCATCATCATCATCGTCATTATTATTATTTTAAAAGCTTATTCACTCAATCGCAAAGGCACCGCGCGCGATTACGCGGGCGACGTTTTAAAAAGAACGGCCGTTCCGGGTAACGGACCTGCCCCCCCCTCCCACGTGACGAGGGACTACAGCCCCCCCCCCCCCCCCGCAGTCCGATGAAAGCACGACGCTGCCCTTAGGCACCCTCGCTCGCTCGCTCTAGAGGGGCCGTCCGGACGCTTCGCTCTGCGCGCCTGAGGGAGCTCTTCGGGGTGGGGGTGGGGAGGGAACCCCCACAAGCCCCGGGGAGCTTTTATTGCGGGGGGGACGCCGGAGCGGTGCCCCCATCTCTCCGGCAGTCACGCGCTCCCCAAGAGCCTCCCCCCACTCCGGGCCCCCCGTGGTGCATGAGCCCGGGGGGCCGCCCGGGGGCCCAGGACCAATGCCACGTGGGTGCTGCCCCCCCCCCCGCCCCTTCCTATACTCGCCGGCGACAAGAACGCCGGCCCCGTCGTGTCGATCTCTCTCGTGAGCGCGTCTTGGGGGGGGGGCTAAATGCTCCTGGTAGGCCCTGTATAAGTATATATATAATATAGGAAAGTGACGTACACACGCACGTTGCCGATCGGAGGAGCTGTCAAGGATTTGATTGAAGCAAACACGATTGTGTGTTTGTGTCGTTTGTCTCGAACGTTTCGATTGGCTTGTCCCACTCGCCTGTCTGCAGAACGGCCGTATCGGGCGTTCCGATTGGTTTGTCCCACTCGCCTGTCTGCAGAACGGCCATATCGGGCAGAATGGCCGTATCGGGCATTCCGATTGGCTTGTCCCACTCGCCTGTCTGCAGAACGGCCGTATCGGGCAGAATGGCCGTATCGGGCATTCCGATTGGCTTGTCCCACTCGCCTGCCTGCAGAACGGCCGTATCGGACGTTCCGATTGGCTTGTCCCACTCGCCTGCCTCTGCAGAACAGCCGTATCGGGCATTCCGATTGGTTTGTCCCACTCGCCTGTCTGTAGAACGGCCGTATCGGACGTTCCGATTGGTTTGTCCCACTCGCCTGCCTGCAGAACGGCCGTATCGGGCATTCCGATTGGCTTGTCCCACTCGCCTGTCTACAGAACGGCCGTATCGGGCGTTCCGATTGGCTTGTCCCACTCGCCTGTCTACAGAACGGCCGTATCGGGCATTCCGATTGGCTTGTCCCACTCGCCTGTCTACAGAACGGCCGTATCGGGTGTTCCGATTGGTTTGTCCCACTCGCCTGTCTGCAGAACGGCCGTATCGGGCGTTCCGATTGGTTTGTCCCACTTGCCTGTCTGCAGAACGGCCGTATCGGGCGTTCCGATTGGTTTGTCCCACTCGCTTGTCTGCAGAACGGCCGTATCGGGCGTTCCGATTGGTTTGTCCCACTCGCCTGTCTGCAGAACGGCCGTATCGGGCGTTCCGATTGGTTTGTCCCACTCGCTTGTCTGCAGAACGGTCGTATCGGGCGTTCCGATTGGCTTGTCCCACTCGCCTGTCTGCAGAACGGCCGTATCGGGCGTTCCGATTGGTTCGTCCCACTCGCCTGCTTGCGGAACCGGCTGCGCTGGGTGTGTATGAATGTCTGAGATTGTTGGCATGCACGAAGCGAGTTCTGTATCGCGAGTTTCACAATCAGTGTTACCCGACGAATCGCTTACACGGCAGATATGTGTGTGTGTAAAGGTACGTGTGTGTGTGTGTGAGAGAGGCTATGAGTGAGCGAGGGTGAGCGTGGGGTGAGCGTGGGATAGCAGGTGAGCGTGGTGAGTGTCGGTTGTCAGCAGGCGAGCGTGGCGAGCGAGGGTTATCAGCAGGCGAGCGTGGTGAGCGAGGGTTATCAGCAGGCTAGCGTGGCGAGCGAGCGTGGTGAGCGAGGGTTATCAGCAAGCTAGCGTGGCGAGCGAGCGTGGTGAGCGAGGGTTATCAGCAGGCGAGCGTGGTGAGCGAGCGTGGCGAGCGAGGGTTATCAGCAGGCGAGCGTGGTGAGCGAGGATTATCAGCAGGCGAGCGTGGTGAGCGAGCGTGGTGAGCGAGCGTGGTGAGCGAGCGTGGTGAGCGAGCGTGGTGAGCGAGGGTTATCAGCAGGTGAGCGTGGCGAGCGAGTGTTATCAGCAGGTGAGCATGGTGAGTGTTGGTTATCAGCAGGCGAGCGTGGTGAGCGAGCGTGGTGAGCGAGCGTGGTGAGCGAGCGTGGTGAGCGAGGGTTATCAGCAGGCGAGCGTGGTGAGCGAGGGTTATCAGCAGGTGAGCGTGGCGAGCGAGCGTGGCGAGCGAGGGTTATCAGCAGGTGAGCGTGGTGAGCGAGCGTGGTGAGCGAGGGTTATCAGCAGGTGAGCGTGGTGAGCGAGCGTGGTGAGCGAGGGTTATCAGCAGGTGAGCGTGGTGAGCGAGGGTTATCAGCAGGTGAGCGAGGGCTAGAGGCCGGTGGGCGTGGAGGCGGGGGTCTTGGTGTAGGCCTCCACGGCCGTGACGGGGGTCTTGCAGAAGAAGCACTCCTTGTTGTTCATCAGGTGCTGGCGGATGCACGCCCTGGCGGACGGGGCGGGGGCACACGGCGGGGTTTAGCGCCACGCGGACAATGGGAGAAACGTCGTCGACGAGAACGTAGTCGACGGCCCCGCGAGGCTGCCGGCCCTCCCATCCCCCCTGCTCCCCCCCCCTGCTCCTCCCCCAGAGCCGCCGGTGTCCATCGACAGCTTCCCAGGCGTCTGCTCGAGGCTCGATCGCTCATGGCAGGGAAACGTTTCCTCTCCGGTTCCCTTTGCTGTTATTTACTTCCAAAGTTTCCTCCCCCCCCCCCCCCGTCCCCCGTGGGCCCGTGGGAGACCAACGGGGCGCTGCCGTCGGGGCGAACGCAACGCAACCCACGGCCGCGGGGGGAAGGGGGGGGGGGTGGCGGCGACTCGAACACGGAGGCACGCGGTCGATCGCACGGCAAACCGGCGGTCGTCTGTCTCCGCCGCGGCTCCCGGCGACGCGAGGGCCAACGTACGCGACAGCCCCGGCGGTGGGGGGGAGGGGGGGGCCCGCACGTACAAAGCGTCTCTTTGTGCGTCACCAAAGGGCGGCACGGGATGCTGACCACGTGCCCAGCTGTTCCTGGCTCCCGCGCGGCCTTTCCATCGTAACTTAACCATCGCCGCCGCCCAATGGAACCCATTGCTTCCAAATTACATTTGGCTCCGCGAGAATTTCGTTCGGGGCCTCGCGTGCGTGCGAGCCGGCGTGGTGTCACGGGGGTTCAGGTTGGGGTTTTTCTGATGGTGTGCGATGTCCCTGTCAAGGTGGTTGGCGCGTGCGTACACGCGTCTGGCTGTGTGCCTGGCACGGCGGCCAAGCTGCAAATATGCGCTTGGCATACCGGCTGCGCTTGATTAATGCATTTGAGAAGGGTCAGGCGAACAAGTTGGTGAGCAAGAGGGCAAGCGAGTTGGTAAGCGAGTGGGCGAGCGACTGAGTGACTGAGTGGGTGAGCGAGTGGGTGAGCGAGTGGGTGAGCGAGTGGGCGAGCGAGTTGGTCAGCGACTGGGCGAGCGAGTGGGTGACCGAGTTGGTGAGCGAGTGGGCAAGCGACTGAGTGGGTGAGCGAGTGGGCGAGCGAGTTGGCGATCAAGTGGGCGACCGAGTGGGCAACTACACTGGGATCCTGCATCACGACAGGAGTCTCCGGCTCCACGCCGAAGGGAACCGGAGGACCTGGGCGGGGTGGGAGGGGATGGAGGCGATGCTCGATGCACTGCACGTGACGGGTTTGCGAACCCACCTGCTGCACTGCCATCCGATGGCCACGTCAACAGCCCATCGGTTTACGAGATCCGTGTGATCCACCAACCCTCGCTACGTGCTCGATATCATCCCCCCCTCCCCCTTCCCCCGCCCGGGGGTTCCCGGCTTCCTGGCCGATGCCGAGCGGCTGCGGCGCCCGCTGGCCACGCGGGCCGAGGGGCTCCGCAGGGGTCCGTGTGGCACGTCACCGGGGGGGGCCACGCGGTTCTCAGGCCCGGCTCTCGGGACGTCGGTGAACAAACCGCGCGTGTCACTAACACGCGTGTCACTAACACGCGTGTCACCAACACGCGTGTCACCAACACGCGTGTCACTAACACGTGTGACACCAACAGCGTGTGTCACCAACACGTGTGACACCAACAGCGTGTGTCACCAACACGTGACACCAACACGCGTGTCACCAACACGTGACACCAACACGTGTGACACCAACACGTGTGTCACCAACACGCGTGTCGCCAACACGCGTGTCGCCAAAGCGCGTGTCACCAACACGCGTGCCACCAACACGCGTGTCGCTATCGCGCGTGTCGCCAAAGCACGTGTCGCCAAAGCACGTGTCGCCAAAACACGTGTCACCAACGTGCGTGTGACCAATACGCGTGTCGCTAACGCGTCATTATGTTTTCACTTTACGCAGTGCGAGCTTGTCTGTTACTCAATATCTACTCGTGGATCAAATGTTGGCATGCCGATGTAATTCTGTTCATCTGGAACACATCCTGACCGCGTCATCGCTATCCCCGTCGCTTCTGCGAGTGGCCCGTGGCTGTACGGCGTACGGTGTCCGTGTGCGGTCTGTAACTGTCGTTCGACTCCACATCTCCGGATTTATCCGCGCGTGCGCTCTGGAGAAGGGTCGTTGGCCGAAACGTCGCCTGCTACATCTCGTTTCTCCTCTGCCGAGTTGTCAATGTTCGTTCTCCTCCCCTGGCTCCCAGCGGTGGGGGTGTGTGGGTGTGTGGGGGGGGGGTGTGTGGGGGGGTGTATGTGGGGGTGTGTGGGGGGGTGTGTGGGGGGTGTGTGGGGGGTGTGTGGGGGGGTGTGTGGGGGGGTGTGTGGGGGGGGTGTGGGGTGGTGTGTGGGGGGGGGTGTGTGGTGGGGTGTGTGTGGGTGTGGGGGTGTGTGGGGGGTGTGTGTGGGGGGGTGTGGGGGTGGGGGTGTGTGTGTGGGGGTGTGGGTGTGGGGGGGTGTGTGGTTGTGGGGGGGGGTGTGTGGGTGGGGGTGTGTGTGGGGGGTGTGTGGGGGGGTGTGTGTGGGTGTGTGTGTGGGGGGGGGTGTATTGGGTGGGGGGGGGACACTCACATGCAGGACTTGTGGGTGCACGGCTGGAAGAGGGCGGAGATGGGGTGAGCGTAGCAGATGGGGCACAGGTCCTCCTCGTCCGTGGGCTGCGGCGACAACGGCACCGCCGGTCAGCGCCGAGCACGGCGAGCCTCACGAGTTCTCTCGGCCGTCTAGTCGATGATGATCGTGACGTCAGCGAATCGAAAATTATTGTGACGTCCGAGAATCGATAATGATCGTGACGTCAGCGAATCGAAAATTATTGTGACGTCAGAGAATCGATGATGATCGTGACGTCAGAGAATCGATGATGATCGTGACGTCAGAGAATCGATAATGATCGTGAATCCTGCCATGTCGAACCATCATGGTAATCACCACCACCACAATTACCACCATACCACTGCCGTCACCACGATTCGTCACCGCCAGCAACCGACACCACCGGCCGCCGTACCATGCTCGGGAGAAACAGGAAGTTGCGGTTACCATGGCAGCGGCGGCAGCTTGCTTGGTCTCGTCGCTGAGCCGAGCGATCATCTTCGTCACCTTCTCCACCTCCTCGGCGCTAACGAAGTCCACGTCTGTAGGGGGGGCGAGGGGAGCGTTGAGCGGTTCGTTGTTGTGTGGTTGTTCGGTCCCGACGGGGTCTCACGGACTCCACGTATCCCACGGTCCCACCGACCCCACACAAACAACAACGCGGGTTCACGCGGTGCGGTGCCACGTGAGGCGGTGCCACGCGGTGCGGTGCCACGTGAGGCGGTGCGGTGCCACGTGGCGCGGTGTTCCATAGAGTCGCAGGGTGCGGTGCTGTCCGGCGTTCCGGCAGGGTGCTGTCCGACGTTCCGGCAGAGCGCTGCGGTAGTGCGGTGCCGTAGTGCAGTGCGGTAGTGCAATGCCATAGCGCGGTGTCCCACAGAGCAGTAGTGTGGTAGTGTGGTGTGGTAGTGTGGTGTGGTAGCGCGGTGTCCCACAGAGCAGTGCGGTAGCGTGGTGCGGTAGTCGGTGCCGTAGTGCTGGGCCGCGGTGCCGCGCGATTGTGCGGTGCCGCGGTGGTCTGCTGCGGTGGTGCTGTGCGATGGTGCGATGGCGCGGTGCGGTGGTGCTGTGCAATGGTGCGATGGTGCTGTGCGATGATGCTGTGCGATGATGCTGTGCGATGGTGCGGTGCGGTGGTGCGGTCACCCACAGCTGCGCAGGGAGAAGCGCTTGTCGGGCGTGGCTGCCCCCCGCGGCTGCTCCCGCTCGTGCGTCTCCCCCAGCAGGTACTGCACGCAGCGCAGCTGGAAGCAGGGGTCGGCCAGCAGGGCCCGCGACGCTCTCTCCGCACTGTGATGCGCAAACAAAGACAGAGATCCCCCCGCCGCGGGTAGCCTTGACGGACCGCTGTGGCAAGTGCCGTTCGCGAGGGGGTGGGTGGCCAGCACCGCGCCCGACCGCCTTTGTCTCTCCGGTGGCGATGTTTACACACCGGACCGGGTACTAATTTGAGGCCGAGTCGACCTAGGGGAGGCCCAGGACCGGTTCAGATAATCGTCACCGGTGTTGGCCGTGAGCGGGAATCGAAACCAGAGCGCCGGGTTCGTAGCGCAGAGCGCTAACCGCTACACTACCGCTCCTCACGTCAGCAAATCGATAAGAATCGTGACGTCGGCAAATCAACCAGCATCGTGACATCAGGAAATCAATAATAATCGTGATGTAAACTAATCGATAAGAATCGTGACGTCAGCAAATCAACAAGCATCGTGACATCAGGAAATCACTAAGAATGGTGACGTCAGCGCGGGCCTGCACACGTCCGACAGGCCGTTGGGGCGAGCGGCGTTTTGCGAGCGCCTATGAAGGCCGGCACGGCGCACGCCCGGGAGCGGCGGTGTGGCCGGCCCCACGCCCCGCCTTCGTGTTTCGACAGCGGGCCGGGGGCCGAGTTGACCCCTCTGGGAGGCCCACTACCGGTGGCGGCCGCGAGTGGGAGTTTTTGTAATTCGGGTTGCCGGGTTTGCAGCGCGAGCCACCACCGCCTCATCTACAGCAGCGGTCCCCAAACTTGTTGGCACCAGGGACCGGTCTCGTGGAAGACAATTTTTCACGGACCGGGGGGGTGGGCTAATCATTGGGTCTTTCCCCCTATTCAAAGAAGCTCTCCAGCGACGTTTGATTATTACTCATTGTGGCTACTAGGGGTTAGAGCTTGTGGGCTTACTCATTGTGGCTACTAGGGGTTAGAGCTTGTGGGCTTACTCATTGTGGCTACTAGGGGTTAGAGCTTGTGGGCTTACTCATTGTGGCTACTAGGGGTTAGCTTGTGGGCTTACTCATTGTGGCTACTAGGGGTTAGAGCTTGTGGGCTACTCATTGTGGCTACTAGGGGTTAGAGCTTGTGGGCTTACTCATTGTGGCTACTAGGGGTTAGAGCTTGTGGGCTACTCATTGTGGCTACTAGGGGTTAGAGCTTGTGGGCTTACTCATTGTGGCTACTAAGGGTTAGCTTGTGGGCTTACTCATTGTGGCTACTAGGGGTTAGAGCTTGTGGGCTTACTCATTGTGGCTACTAGGGGTTAGAGCTTGTGGGCTTACTCATTGTGGCTACTAGGGGTCAGCTTGTGGGCTTACTCATTGTGGCTACTAGGGGTCAACTTGTGGGCTTACTCATTGTGGCTACTAGGGGTTAGAGCTTGTGGGCTTACTCATTGTGGCTACTAGGGGTTAGAGTTTGTGGGCTTACTCATTGTGGCTACTAGGGGTTAGAGCTTGTGGGTTTACTCATTGTGGCTACTAGGGGTTAGCTTGTGGGCTTACTCATTGTGGCTACTAGGGGTTAGAGCTTGTGGGCTTACTCATTGTGGCTACTCGGGGTTAGAGCTTGTGGGCTTACTCCTTGTGGCTACTAGGGGTCAGCTTGTGGGCTTACTCATTGTGGCTACTAGGGTCAGCTTGTGGGCTTACTCATTGTGGCTACTAGGGGTTAGAGCTTGTGGGCTTACTCATTGTGGCTACTAGGGGTTAGCTTGTGGGCTTACTCATTGTGGCTACTAGGGGTTAGAGCTTGTGGGCTTACTCATTGTGGCTACTAGGGGTTAGAGTTTGTGGGCTTACTCATTGTGGCTACTAGGGGTTAGCTTGTGGGCTTACTCATTGTGGCTACTAGGGGTTAGAGCTTGTGGGCTTACTCATTGTGGCTACTAGGGGTTAGAGCTTGTGGGCTTTATACCAACACTGTGACTGAGTGCGCAGTGCGGGAAAGCGGCGCGGACGGAAGTGGTAAATAATAAAATAATGGGGCGGGCCACGCGTGGACTCACCGCTCTCACCTCCTGCTGTGCGGACTGGTACCGGGTTGGGGACCGCTGGTCTAGATTATAATAACAAACCCCCGGTCGCCACGGGCGCGACCTCCCATCGTGCCTTGCACGTACGCCACGTGACCTCCTCCTTCCCCCCACGTCGCACGCACGGCGCTCTCAGCCTCGTCGCCTTCCACCGCACCACCGCTCCCCTACCGCACGCGCGCCGTGACGGCGCGTGCCAGCGCGTTTGCACCTGCCCGCCGGCGATAACCGAGGCAGCGTGCGTCGGCCAAACGCGCCGACGCTGGCACAGGCGATGGCAAGGACGCGGCGGGCAGCGGAACCCCGGCACGCGAGCGTCAGAGACGGCCTTTAGAATTAACGTGGGCCGGCGACGCTCTTCTTATTCAAGGGGGGCCCCTGGGTCACGGGGAAGAGTGGGGAGCCCAGATAATCATCGTCACCCTCAGGCCCGTTGACAATCCACGCCGTGTCGGTCACGAGCAGTTGTTATTTTTTTTACCAAGACCTTCATTTATCTGGCCCGGTGTGGTTCAGCGGTAAGGCCCAGCAGCTAACAATTGTAAAGGTCACACCCAAGGGGTTAACTCTATAAAATGAGTACTGTACCACTTTGTCGAAATATTTTGCACCGTACGTAGCCAACCGCGCCAATTGGAGGTGCGGGGGCAGTGAACTGCGGATGTGCCATGGGTGGACTCGCCCCCGCCATAGGAACGTGGCATTTCCACGACTGGCTCAGAGGGCTGTAAAGAGGAGATGCGGCACGGCGGACAAATCGCTCGACTTTGGCTCTCGCATTCGTCGTTTGCGCAACGCCTCTGGCGAGCCTCGAAACGCCACTGTGCGGCAGGGCGAGTGGGCCAGCGCCGCCCTCCACGGCGCGCATGGTCACTCGAAGGCATCGCAGGGGGTAGCTCTGCAACGTCCCTTCTCTAGCCCGGAGAGGGGCGGGGGGCGGCAGGGGGGGGTCGAGCCGCTCGCAGAGAGGGCTCCGTGCCGATTCTACGTCCCGCGATGGTTCCCCTTCCTTACGAGAGCGTGATGCGAGCGCGCCTTTTATTTCCCTGCTCCGTGGGATTTTCCGGGCGCCGCCCTCCAATAAATTGGTTTTCTGAACAAACTAAACAATTTTTAGTTGACAATGCACGACGCTAGACTCACCCCCCCATCCCACCCCAACAACAATGAATCTCTATTAAACGAAGCTGTGAGCTCTTTTTCAGAAGCGAGCTGGCTATCCCAAATGATAGCTCAACGAAGTGGGCTTTATCATCGCGTGGAAATTTATAGCGGCCAAATATTCTAAGCGTTTGACGTCGATTCTATATTGTGGCAATGTATAGCAGCCAAGTACTCTAAATGGACGACGATTCTAAACGAGAGACACCGCAAACTCAACATATACAGCAGGCGTCAGGGTCGGGATCGAACCCACGACTTCCTGCATACCGGGCGAGGCAGCTGACATCTCGCCGTGGCGGCGCCCCAAACCCCTCGCGCGTTGCCGCAGAGCATTGTGGGTAAAGCGGGACGATCGGAGCGGATCCGCGATTTGTTTTGCTCCCCCAGCCCACGGGGGCCGCGCGCACCCCGACGTCACCCAGCGACGTCGAAAGCCGGCGGAGGGAGTCGCCTCGCAGCCACGGGTTCCAACCTCGGCGGTGGCGGCGGTCCCGCCTCACGGCAACAGGGGCCTGGGTTCGATTCCCGACTCGGGCACCTCTCTCTGTGCGCAGTGTGCTGCGTTCCCTCGCTTCCCCCCTGTAGCTGCGTTCCTCCTCCCGTAGATGAACCCACGCACACGGGGCAACTGGCATCGGCCGAAACGTTGCACAAAAAAAAACTACCTGCAATTAACTCAATTGGGAATCACACAGAGAGCAGCAGCAGCAGTGCCAACATCGATCCCCCCCGACTGCGGAAACTGGGCAGGACCCTACTGAAAAAGCGTCTTGAGACTTTCCTGGGTAAACGAGTGAAATCATAATAATGGACGTATGTACGCTGAACTTCTTTCGGGCCGCACGTAGCCGACCGTGCTGAATCGGAGGCGCGGAGGAAGGACAATGTGTGAAGTGATAATAGTCACACGACCACCTTGTTCTTTTTGACAACCGCCATCATCTCCGAACGGCACCTCATCACGCCGATGTCTCCGCCTTAAAGAGCGAGCGAAGGTCATCGCAACTCACACGCACGCGTCACGATTGCCACTGATCGGCACCGGCGCTCGCGTGTGCACGTGTCCACGTGCGTGTGTGTGCACGTGTGTGTGTGTGCACGTGTGTGTGTGCACGTGTCCACGTGCGTGTGCGTGTGAGCGAGTCAACGCGCGCGCCGCGCGCGTTAGCGTCGCTCCGAGACCGCGCAATTAGCCGCAGCCATGGGCTGTGAGGCCGAGCAGGAAAAACAAGTGCAGTGGCCTTTGGGGTTGCCTCCGTTGGCTTCAGTTCGGCGTCTGCAAAGTCACAAGCCACGGACGCAAACCCAGCGTGGGACGATGATGCGCGTGGTCGCGAGCGCGCGCGGTTGTGTGTGTGTGTGGCCTTCATAGGTGTTACTCGCGAACAGCGGCGGTGTAGCGGTTAGCGCTACGCTGCGCTACGAACCCAGCGACCCGAGTTCGGTTCCCGCTCACGGCCAACACCAGCGAAGATTATCTGAACCGGTCCTGGGCCTTTCGCTAGGTCGACTCGGCCTCAAATAAATACCTGGCGTGTGAACACCGCCACTGGGGAGACAAAGGCGGCCGGGCGTGGTGCTGGCCACCCACCCCCTCGTGCTCCGTGCCGGCTTTTATAGGTGCTGCTCGCTAACAGCACTTGCCCCAACAGTCTGTTAAGGCTGTACGGCGGGTGTGGCAGTGCCCCCTATTCCTCACATGAGGGTCCTGCCACTGCGTTGGGAAGTAAAGCCAATCACGAGAGGAGAACCCAGACATAGACTCACACTCAAACACTCGACAAAGATCCCCCGTATAGCCTGAACAGACTGTTGGGGCAAGTGCTGTTAGCG